TTCTCTTTCCATGTATGCTTTGTATGGTATGGTGTCACAAGGCATTCTCTCTAAGTGGGCAAACCATTTCACTTGCTGTCTTTGTATGTAATCCAGAATTGGTTCTGTGCCGACTTGTTCTCTTATGATCTCATTCCTGATCTTATCTCTTATGGTCACTCCTACAGCCCTACTCAGACATCTCATTTCCGTGGTTACTAATTTTATAATTCCATAAAAATTAAAATCAACAACTATCCAGTATTCTCCTTGTGAGATGCAGTTTTTCATTATTTGAAGCCCTATTCTAGGTCTTGCCAGGGGCCGCAATATAGCCCGGCCATAAATATGGTCTAATGGCTGAACGCAGTTTCTGGAACCTCTCCACGGTGATCCTCATCCACATGGTGGCACTTTGTGTCATCGGGTGTTTATCGCTTGTGTGATGTCCTGGTGGGGTAAAAAACCACTACCACTACTAATCATCAACAGTTGAAGATATACCCTGTATTTTATTCAAAGTAAGCACTTTGTGCATGGATACAGCAAGTAGGGCGATCTAACAAACACTGGAAAAACCTCTATAGTTCTTTTGTCATTATGGCCCTTGAAATCGATATTACTGCCCTTTGGATGTCATCAATATCGTCAAAGAAGCGTCCTCTCAATGTAACTTTAAGGAATAAAAATAATCACAGGGAGACAGATCTGGGAATAGTGTGCATGGTTGAGAACACACAATCATTTTCGGGCCAACAATTCTGGTGCAATTACCGCCCGGTAAGCCGGTGCATTGTCAAGAAGAAGGTACAAACTAGCAAGCAACTTTTTTCTTTCCCAAATTTTGCACTTAAATTTTAAATATGGTCTCTCTATTAACACCAGATTTATCTACCATCATCCTCACAAGCAAACAATGATCTTCTTTTATCCGTTCTCTAACTTTTGCAATGAGATCCTAATTACAAACAGAAATTGGGTGTCCAGGTCTAGTTGCATTAGTAATCACTTTGAAACCACTTTTGAATCATGAATATCACCTGAAAATCTATGCACAAGACAAACAATTATTACCATATACTTGTTGTATCAACTCAGCTGTCTAAACAGCCCTTTTTCTGATTTTTCAACAGAATTTGATGTTGTCTCTTTGTCTATATTGATTACGTAGCAATGCAACTCTGACTAGATTAACAAAATGGCGGCTTGTTTGCTGTCTGCTTATCAGGCGGCGATGAAAAGTTGCCAGTTCATAGATGAAGGTTGTCTCTTTGGATTCCATGCTTTGCCTCAAAGATGGCTTTTTGTGTGTGTCTTGGCCATACTAAAATCAGTCTCATTACTTAATTGTCGGACCTTGTATAACACACATTTGCATCTGTAGGCTTAGGTGTTGCAAACGCGCTTTATTATGCTAGGGTGCCGTGTTTGATCCCAGCCGCAGGCGATTTAGCAGCAGATCAACTTGCATTGGTTTCGACAGTTGTATCAAGAGCCATCCTTTAAGAAAGCAGTGGCAAACTACTGAACCAAAATATGCCTACAGCCAAAAAGTGCTGGCGTTGGTTCTGTACAGGATATGTAACAAACGTTTTTTTTTTCTCTTTTAAGTGACATGGCTACCCCAGTTCTGTCTTGTGGTGAGGGAAACTATAGTAGTCTGTTGTACATCTTCAGAGGCTGCCCCAGTTCTGTCTTGTGGTGAGGGAAACTATAGTAGTCTGTTGTACAGCTTCAGAGGCTGCCCCAGTTCTGTCTTGTGGTGAGGGAAACTATAGTAGTCTGTTGTACATCTTCAGAGGCTGCCCCAGTTCTGTCTTGTGGTGAGGGAAACTATAGTAGTCTGTTGTACATCTTCAGAGGCTGTCCCAGTTCTGTCTTGTGGTGAGGGAAACTATAGTAGTCTGTTGTACATCTTCAGAGGCTGTCCCAGTTCTGTCTTGTGGTGAGGGAAACTATAGTAGTCTGTTGTACATCTTCAGAGGCTGTCCCAGTTCTGTCTTGTGGTGAGTTAAACTATAGTAGTCTGTTGTACAGCTTCAGAGGCTGTCCCAGTTCTGTCTTGTGGTGAGGGAAACTATAGTAGTCTGTTGTACATCTTCAGAGGCTGCCCCAGTTCTGTCTTGTGGTGAGGGAAACTATAGTAGTCTGTTGTACATCTTCAGAGGCTGTCCCAGTTCTGTCTTGTGGTGAGGGAAACTATAGTAGTCTGTTGTACATCTTCAGAGGCTGCCGTTTCTTTGATGTAGTATTGGTTTTCTCTATCAAGTAATCTTCACATTGTTGTATTAGGATCAGATGCTGAAGTAACCCAACATTAATAGACCTTCACTAAGAGGCCAACATACACATACTATTACAGTGCAGACTTGATAAGAAGAACTCACCAGGGACCCAAGAATTTTTTTTCTTATCAGAAATTCCTCTTATCCAGATAAAAGTTCATCATCAGTCAGCAAGTACTTCACAGAACATGAAGAACCTTAAGACAGGTCACTGTGTCAACATAATACTGGTCCATGCACATTCATGGTTCAGACCAACTGGACCCAAAGGTACAGAGACTGTGATTAAACTGTCAGGTCTTGGCACAGAATATGTACCATTCTCACTGTAAACTGGTTGTTTGTTAAACCAACTGTCAGGTTTTGGTACAGAATATGTACCATTCTCACTGTAAACTGGTTGTTTGTTAAACCAACTGTCAGGTTTTGGTACAGAATATGTACCATTCTCACTGTAAACTGGTTGTTTGTTAAACCAATTGTCAGGTCTTGGCACAGAATATGTACCATTCTCACTGTAAACTGGTTGTTTGTTAAACCAACTGTCAGGTCTTGGCACAGAATATGTACCATTCTCACTGTAAACTGGTTGTTTGTTAAACCAACTGTCAGGTCTTGGCACAGAAAATGTACCATTCTCACTGTAAACTGGTTGTTTGTTAAACCAACTGTCAGGTCTTGGCACCGAATATGTACCATTCTCACTGTAAACTGGTTGTTTGTTAAACCAACTGTCAGGTCTTGGCACCGAATATGTACCATTCTCACTGTAAACTGGTTGTTTGTTAAACCAAACTGTCAGGTCTTGGCACCGAATATGTACCATTCTCACTGTAAACTGGTTGTTTGTTAAACCAACTGTCAGGTCTTGGCACAGAATGTACCATTCTCACTGTAAAGTGGTTGTTTGTTAAACCAGCTGTCAGGTCTTGGCACAGAATATGTACCATTCTCACTGTAAACTGGTTGTTTGTTAAACCAGCTGTCAGGTCTTAGCACAGAATATGTACCATTCTCACTGTAAACTGGTTGTTTGTTAAACCTACTGTCAGGTCTTGGCACAGAATATGTACCATTTTCACTGTAAACTGGTTGTTTGTTAAACCAACTGTCAGGTCTTGGCACCGAATATGTACCATTCTCACTGTAAACTGGTTGTTTGTTAAACCAACTGTCAGGTCTTGGCACAGAAAATGTACCATTCTCACTGTAAACTGGTTGTTTGTTAAACCAACTGTCAGGTCTTGGCACCAAATATGTACCATTCTCACTGTAAACTGGTTGTTAGTTAAACCACCTGGATGGTTTTCAAATGAAACAGGACAATTTTCTAAGCAGACACAGTTATCATTCAACACTTCTGATCCAACTAAGTGGTGTGTTTTGACAATGAAAATAACTAATTGACAACAAAGTTTACATCAGTCTGTCCCAGTGCTGCTGTAGTCACGTTTATCATGATATGAAGGAGGTCATTAATGCAGTCATGTTGTGTTATCGTTTCAATGCTCCCTTTCCTGACAATGTTTAGTGTCTGGTCGGGCGCAGGATGCTCAGCAAACGCTTCGCCTACACCACCTATACCCATAGCCTCTTTTGCCACTCTCCTGTATACCCATAGCCTCTATTGCCACTCTCCTGTATACCCACCGCCTCTATTGCCACTCTCCTGTATACCCATAGCCTATATTGCCACTCTCCTGTATACCCACCGCCTCTATTGCCACTCTCCTGTTTACCCATAGCCTCTATTGCCACTCTCCTGTATACCTATAGCCTCTATTGCTACTCTCCTGTATACCCATAGCCTCTTTTGCCACTCTCCTGTATACCCATAGCCTCTTTTGCCACTCTCCTGTATACCCATAGCCTCTATTGCCACTCTCCTGTATACCCATAGCCTCTCTTGCCACTCTCCTGTATACCCATAGCCTCTATTGCTACTCTCCTGTATACCCATAGCCTCTATTGCCACTCTCCTGTATACCCATAGCCTCTATTGCCACTCTCCTGTATACCCATAGCCTCTATTGCCACTCTCCTGTATACCCATAGCCTCTATTGTCACTCTCCTGTATACCCAAAGCCTCTTTTGCCACTCTCCTGTATACCCATAGCCTCTATTGCCACTCTCCCTATACCCACCGCCTCTATTGCCACTCTCCTGTATACCCACCGCCTCTTTTGCCACTCTCCCTATATCCACTGCCTCTATTGCTACTCTCCTGTATACCCATAGCCTCTTTTGCCACTCTCTAGTATACCCATAGCCTCTATTGCTACTCTCCTGTATACCCATAGCCTCTTTTGCCACTCTCCTGTATACCCATAGCCTCTATTGCTACTCTCCTGTATACCCATAGCCTCTTTTGCCACTCTCCTGTATACCCATAGCCTCTATTGCCACTCTCCTGTATACCCACCGCCTCTTTTGCCACTCTCCTGTATACCGACTGCCTCTTTTGCCACTCTCCCTATATCCACTGCCTCTATTGCTACTCTCCTGTATACCCATAGCCTCTTTTGCCACTCTCCTGTATACCGACTGCCTCTATTGCCTCTCTACCTATACCCACTGCCTCTATTGCCACTCTCCCTATATCCATTACCTCTATTGCCACTCTCCCTATACCCACTGCCTCTATTGCCACTCTCCCTATACCCACTGCCTCTATTGCCACTCTCCCTATACCCATAGCCTCTATTGCCTCTCTACCTATACCCACTATTGCCTCTCTACCTATATCCATTACCTCTATTGCCACTCTCCCTATACCCACTGCCTCTATTGCCACTCTCCCTATACCCACTGCCTCTATTGCCACTCTCCCTATACCCACTGCCTCTATTGCCACTCTCCCTATACCCACTGCCTCTATTGCCACTCTCCTTATACCCAAAGCCTCTATTGCCTCTCTACCTATACCCACTATTGCCTCTTTACCTATACCCACTATTGCCTCTTTCCCTAAACCCACTGCCTCTATTGCCACTCTTCTGTATATTCACTGCCTCTATTGCCACTCTCCCTATACCCATTACCTCTTTTGCCACTCTCCCTATACCCACTGCCTCTATTGCAACTCTCCCTTTACCCACTGCCTCTATTACAACTCTCCCTATACCCATACCTCTTTTGCCACTCTCCCTATAACCATTACCTCTTTTGCCACTCTCCCTATACCCACTGCCTCTATTGCCACTCTCCCTATATACATTACCTCTTTTGCCACTCTCCCTGTATCGATTACCTCTATTGCCACTCTCCCTATATCCACTGCCTCTATTGCCACTCTCCATATACCCACTGCCTCTATTGCCACTCTCCATATACCCACTGCCTCTATTGCCACTCTTCCTATACCCACTGCCTCTATTGCCACTCTCCCTATACCCATAGCCTCTATTGCCTCTCTACCTATACCCACTATTGCCTCTCTACCTATACCCACTATTGCCTCTTTCCCTAAACCCACTGCCTCTATTGCCACTCTTCTGTATATTCACTGCCTCTATTGCCACTCTCCCTATACCCATTACCTCTTTTGCCACTCTCCCTATACCCACTGCCTCTATTGCAACTCTACCTTTACCCACTGCCTCTATTACAACTCTCCCTATACCCATACCTTTTTTGCCACTCTCCCTATAACCATTACCTCTTTTGCCACTCTCCCTATACCCACTGCCTCTATTGCCACTCTCCCTATATACATTACCTCTTTTGCCACTCTCCCTATATCCATTACCTCTATTGCCACTCTCCCTATATCCATTACCTCTATTTCCACTCTCCCTATATCCATTACCTCTATTGCCACTCTCCCTATATCCACTGCCTCTATTGCCACTCTCCCTATACCCACTGCCTCTATTGCCACTCTCCCTATATCCACTGCCTCTATTTCCACTCTCCCTATACCCACTGCCTCTATTTCCACTCTCCCTATATCCATTACCTCTATTACCACTCTCCCTATATCCATTACCTCTATTGCCACTCTCCCTATACCCACTGCCTCTATTGCCACTCTCCCAGGGAGTTCCCGATGGAGAGGACAAGGTCAGAAGACCAGTGATACAAGAGAAAAACAGGATAAGTAGGTCTCGAGTATCCCATGGTGAGCGAATATGGGATGCAAGAAAAGCGTGAGACTGGAACGGAAGACGTGAACAGAGAGACGGTAGTAAGACAGTTGAAGTTTGGACCTGGTTGCGAGAGGTCGTATGTGAGAGAACACCTGATTAGAATGAAGAACCTGTGACCACGTATAGTTGTTCGAGAGAAGACATAAATGTTTCCTGATTGCGGTTTCAACATGTACTAATACCAGGCACCAGGCTTTAGTCTGATATGGATGTGTGATTCGAGAGATACGATCGGAGCAAAGCAGTGTGCGAATGAGTTGGCCAGGTCATCAGAAATCAGCCATGCATAGTGACCACCAGGACGAAAGAATGCGCTGTCAGTGAGATTTTTTGATTCAGCGAATATAGGTCTATAACTGAACATTCGTTGCTGGTGTGTCCTAGCAACTCAGTGTTCGTCAGTACAGCAATGTGGCGTTTAGGAATAAACCCCTAGCAGAGCACATTGCATTTACCTAGTGCTTTATTGCCACTCTCCTGTATACCCAATGCCTCTATTGCCGCTCTTCTGCTTGTAATCACATGGAAAAACACTGGGGAAAGGCGGACTCTGTTGGAGGCCAGGTGCTACACAACAGGGTTCAAAATCTACGAGCCTAGGCGAAATGCAGTTCACCATTCATACAGGATCACTGCGATCCAATTGACGGTTCAGGGACTGACCTCCACATCCTAAGGCGTGTATACTAAAACTTCATATCTAAACTTGTTCAATGCATCTTCTAAATTTTGAAACCCCTGATTTAGACAATCAGAAATCTGGTAGTCTTAGTTTCAGATTCATAGCAAACGGGTCACCCCATCGTTGCTCTGCTCCTGTGCCTACGAAAAACACACAGAATGTTTATCACAGTCTCTTGCGGAAAGATTGACAGACTGCTGTCTCAGCATATCTAGCACACACACGCATTAAAAGCATACGGTAGCCATCCGAAGTGCTAACACAAACAGTCCGACATTAGAAATACAGTTCATCATGGATGGTAGCAAAAGTCACCAACAGATCAGCAGTTGCTCACGCGATCAATTTTAATCACATAATGGCACCACCAGTATTGCGACAACCGGCATCGCCCTATTTTATGAATATACAATTCACAACACCACTTTGGTCACAGTCGAAAAACATTCCAAATGAAATCCATAGCTCACAGTGTCACACCATGCACTCTGCTCAGAAACTGGGCGACGAAACTATATCCTTTCAGTCTACAAATCGAGCAAAAATTCAACGGCCACCGTCTGGCAGAAGCAAACAATTTGCTACGGCTCAAAACAGTGACCGTGCCTAGCGTCCCTTTTGACCTAGACAATCAGCAAGGATGGTGAATTGTGCTAGTTTCTTCTCTCTGTCGGTAGCCCCCCCCCCCCCCCCCCCCCCTCCCCCCCCCCCCCCCCCCCCCCCCCCCCCCACCCTTTAGGTAGGAGTCCATATTTCACGCAGTATTCCCCTAGTTTGCCCGCCAGTCTTTTTTCGCAATGTTACCAAATGTAATTTGTAATAGAATCGGTCAAAAAATATACTTAGAAACGTCAGTTAAGTAGGTCAGAAAATATACTTAGAAACGTCAGTTAAGTAGGTCAGAAAATATACTTAAAAACGCCAGTTATGTAGGTCAGAAAATATACTTAGAAACGTCAGTTATGTAGGTCAGAAAATATACTTAGAAACGTCATTTAAGTAGGTCAGAAAATGTAAACACACCAAACAGAGGAAGAGTTGAGAAAGTACAAAAATGAAATGATTAGCATACAGAAACAAGATGCACAAACAAATCGAAGAACTGATTTATAAACTGAAACACACAAATCTAAAAGTTGATTAATAAACTGAAACAAACAAATCTAAGAATTGATTTATAATCTAAATTGCTCCCTTCGCCGCTCCTCCCCAGCAGCTGGCTGTTGCATCCCTCGCAATCGCGTGAAAGGCGTTCTTAGGTTCTTAATTTGGCAAACATACAAGTTCTTCCTAGATCGTTGCTGTGTGTGTTTGAACAACTGATACAAATTTCCACAAACACGAAGGTGTAAACATCGACACAACATCATAGCTAGCACCTCGAGAGCTGCCTCTCGCAGTCAAGTGCTCGTCTTCTCTTAAAGTGTTCGTTCACTTCTCGCAAAGTGTTAGGTCACCGCCTGGGAAACTTGTAATTCCAGTGCCTACCTGTGTACAACTTAGTCACCTGTACGTGTATGTATACATTCTCCTCATATGTGCTGTACTGTAGCTAAATATTGGATACATATGTGTGTGTGTAGTTACATAGTTTGATAGATAGATAGTGAGGTCCTTATTTTAACTGGGTACACAGGAGTGTCTAAAATTGGGAAGTTAGACATACAAGTATAGAGAAATTATGTTGCAGTTGGTTCCTGGAAACATATTTACTAGGATTATTATGGAAAGAGTTAAAAGATGATATTGATACAACGGTAAGAGATGAACAGGCAGGTTTTCGGCCAAACAGATCCTGTACTGACCAGATAGCCGCATTACGTATTAGAGCAAAGCATTAAACTGAACTCACCACTTTACATTGGATTTATTTATAGACTAGGAGAAAGCATTGGACAGAATTGAAAGGGAATCTCTCTGGAAATTGATGGGGCACTATGGAATCCCACAGAAAATTATCAACTTAGTAAAGGCAACATATAAAGACATGAAATGTCGAGTTCTTCACGAGGGAAAGCTAACAGATGTATTTGAAATAAAAACAGGTGTGCGACAGGGATGTCTTTTGTCACCTCTCTTATTTTTACTGGCTATAGACTGGACTATGAAAACAGTAACTGCTAACACCAAGAATGGAATTCAGTGGACCCCATCAAAACAGCTTGATGATCTGGACTTTGCTGATGATATTGCTCTTCTGTCCCATTCACGGAATCAGATGCAAGATAAATTAAATATACTTGATGCCATATCACAGTAGCTTGGTCTGAAAATACATAAAAGAAAGACAAGGATAATGAGAATAAATCAGGCAAATAGTAAAGTGGTTTCTCATTAATGGCACCTCACTCGAAGATTTGGAGTCGTACACCTATTTAGGCAGGTATGTTGATAAAGATGGAGGAACTGATAGAGATATTAAAATAGGAATACAAAACGTAAGAAAAGCTTTCGTAGCCCTAGAGAATTTGTGGAGGTGAAAAGAAATTAAAATCAATACTAAACTAAAAAATTTTAATTCTAATGTCAAATCAGTACTTTTGTATGGGGCGGAAACATGGAGAACAGCTGTGGCAATTATTAATAAATTACAGACATTCATTAACTGGTGCCCGCGCAGAACAGAGGGAACTAAATGGTACGATAGAAAAACTAATGTAGAGCTTTGGTAGAGAACTAGACTCCAGTGAACCAAGAGGTGAGGAAAAGACTCTAGCGTTGGATAGGACGGAAACTAAGAAAACAGGAGAACAGCATAACTAGATTGCCTTTGCATTGGAACCAACAGGGGCATAGGAATAAAGGACGGCAAAAATACACACGGAGAAGAGAGCTGGAGAATGAAGTTAGAAAAATGGGGAGGACATGGGGAGAGTTCCATGTAATAGCGAAGGATAGAACGACTTGGCGTGAGTTGGTTGAGGGCCTATGCTTCATTGGGGGTAAGAAAGGCAGAAGAAGAAATGTTGTAAGTAGTTAGCTACGTGGCTGTAAAGTTAGGACGATGTGAAGTTGTGTCGGTAAGTAGTTAACTACGTGTGTGGTAAGTTAGGACGATGTGTAGTTGTGTCGGTAAGTAGTTAACTACGTGCGTGGTAAGTTAGGACGATGTGAAGTTGTGTCGGTAAGTAGTTAACTACGTGCGTGGTAAGTTAGGACGATGTGTAGTTGTGTCGGTAAGTAGTTAACTACGTGCGTGGTAAGTTAGGACGATGTGAAGTTGTGTCGGTAAGTAGTTAACTACGTGCGTGGTAAGTTAGGACGATGTGAAGTTGTGTCGGTAAGTAGTTAGCTACGTGGCTGTAAAGTTAGGACGATGTGAAGTTGTGTCGGTAAGTAGTTAACTACGTGCGTGGTAAGTTAGGACGATGTGAAGTTGTGTCGGTAAGTAGTTAACTACGTGCGTGGTAAGTTAGGACGATGTGTAGTTGTGTCGGTAAGTAGTTAACTACGTGCGTGGTAAGTTAGGACGATGTGAAGTTGTGTCGGTAAGTAGTTAACTACGTGCGTGGTAAGTTAGGACGATGTGTAGTTGTGTCGGTAGGTAGAAACATGCAAGTATGTGTTTACGTAGTAGCTATGAAGGAACGTTTCCTTGCCTTTCCAAAAGGAATTTAATATAGGAGTACTTGGCCCTTTGTTACTGTTGCGTAGTTCATGTGGAGGAAGGCTCCGACCGAAACGTATTTCCCCATTCCCTTTTCGTTACGCTTTTTAGTCACAGCTGATTGGATTGATTTCTTGTTTTCATGTCTGCATTCTTGTCGGCGCTCGGCAAGTGAAATGGTAGGTATCTTCCCGGTTAGAGTAGGTGCGTAGCTAGGGTAGGTGCGTAGCTAGGGTAGGTGCGTAGCTAGGGTAGGTGCGTAGCTGAATAGGTGCGTAGCTAGGGTAGGTGCGTAGCTAGGGTAGGGGCGTAGCTAGGGTAGGGGCGTAGCTGAATAGGTCCGTAGCTAGGGTA